TGTAGCTCTGCAGCAGACGGCGAAGAGACTTGAAGCTCTGAAGAGACCTGTAGCTCTGCAGCAGACGGCGAAGAGACCTGAAGCTCTGCAGCAGACGGCGAAGAGACCTGAAGCTCTGCAGCAGACGACGAAGAGACCTGAAGCTCTGCAGCAGACGGCGAAGAGACTTGAAGCTCTGAAGAGACCTGTAGCTCTGCAGCAGAAGGCGAGTCCGGCGTGAGGTCTGCGGGCGGCGAGTCCGGCGTGAGGTCTGCGGGCGGCGAGACCAGAAGAGCCGGAGCGGGCGGCGAGACCAGAAGAGCCGGAGCGGGAACCAGAGACAAAGCTGCAGCTGGAGAACCAGAGACCAGAGACGGAGCTGCAGCTGGTGAACCAGAGACCAGAGACGGAGCTGCAGCTGGTGAACCAGAGACCAGAGACGGAGCTGCAGCTGGAGAGCCAGGAACCAGAGACGGAGCTGCAGCCGGAGAACCAGAGACCAGAGACAGAGCTGCAGCTGGAGAGCCAGAGACCAGAGACGGAGCTGCAACTGGAGAACCAGGAACCAGAAACAGAGCTGCAGCTGGTGAACCAGAGACCTGAGATGGGGCTGCAGCTGGAGAACCAGAGACTGAGTCTTCAGATGCTGGTGCTGAGTCAGGATCATGGTCTATCTTTAAAGTTCTGAGTCCAGCAAGAAGCTGCTGGTATTCCGGACGCTGGATTAAACCGGGCTGGGATAAAAGAAACCTTTCGGCCAGGATGAGCACAGTATCTAGACAGTCCGGGTTATTTTTTGCAGAACAAATGAGGCTTTGCAGAGTGTGGTTTATTTGGGATAGTTCATGGTGTGAATGCGTGACTGATGGGCAAGAGTCTTTAAATGAGGGTGTGGTGACAGGTGTCGCCCCCACCGGAAACTTTAGAGGTGGGGCGACAGAACACGCCCCCACAGAGTCACTGGGAGAATGCCCAGGAGGCACGGTCTGACTGGGTTGGACAGCCGCGGCACGGTGTGACGGTGGGAGGCCGGATTCCGCCCCCACCAGAAACCTGGAAGGTGAGGCGACGGAACCCGCCCCCGTAACGTCACGTGGACCGGACTCGCCGAACCGAACAGGAGTGGACCGGAGCTCCCGCGGGACGCCGGACCTCGCCCCCACGAAAACCTGGAGGGTGAGGCGGCGGGACCAGCTCCCACAAAAACACCGGAACCAACTCTACTATTCTGCCCGGCCGACGAAACCGGCCCGGTCGCCGCGGGCTGCCCTCGGGACCGCTTCCTACCTCCCCGGCAACGGCGGGATGGTCGGGGGACAGGAGCAAAACAGAACTCATCCTCGATTTCTTCGTCCTCCCCCGACGTCCATCCCGAGTAGCCGGGCGAGGCGGACTCAAAAGCAGGAGCCTGGTGGGTTCCCCGGTGCCGAGCCCTGTCTTCTTCAAGGACCAGGAGTGGTGAAGACAGGACTTCCACCTCCTGGTCAAAACGTCCTTGAGGGCGGACGGGTCTCGTCCAGAACCCACCGCACCGGATTGTGGATCTGCTCATCACGGGAGGCTCGGAGGGAAGAAAAAAAAAAGAAAAAAGGTGAGCTGCCGAGAGAATCCTGCCCGCTGGGTTCTGATATATGGTCGGGTCGTAATGTCAGGGTTTGATGGTCAGGAACGAACCCAGTAGTGCAGACAGGAC